CCATCCGCGCCCCTCCCCTGCCCTTTCCCCTGCACCCCCCCCCAGATGTCCGGACTGCCATGAGTTCCGTCGCGCAGCGTGTCTACTCGCGGTTCGCCCACCTTCCCCGGCGGGTGCCTTTGCGGCTGATCTCGCAGGTGGGCCAGCCAGTTGGCCCAATTCCGGCGAACCCCCTCAGCCAGGCCCCCGACCCGTTGACCTTCGACTCGGCGGCCGCCACGGCCGCCGGCCAGGAGGCCAGCGTGCAGCCCGGGCCCGCCAGCCTCGCCACACCCCTGAACCTGACCGGCTGTGGTATGAACTTGCCATCCGGCGCACGCCTCGAGGGCGGCCCCATTTGCTCCGAGCACATTGATGACGTCAATGGGCAGATCCTTTCGCGGTCGGTCTCCAAGTGCGTACCGCCCCCACGCCTCCGGCACCCTCGCGCCCTTGGCTGGTCTGTCCGACTTACCCTTCCGCTCGGCCCCTCCCCCCCCTCCCCCGCTCCTGGTGCTGCCTCCGCCACACAGCCTTTTCTCCCTCAAGTGGTCGACCCCGCCGCGGAATATCCTCCTCATCGCCAAGAAGGGGGATATTTCCGTCACGCGGGCCTTCTCACGCATTGTGCGCGATCTGCTGCGCGTGTCGGAGCTGTCCGCCGGAGGCCCGGTCACACACGGCATGTCCCCCTCGTTGAATGTCCGCATCGCCGAGCTGCTGGATCAGTCATCCGGCGTGCCACACCACCCGGCCTCCGGGCTCCTGGGGGCCCTATCTACCAGCCTGCCCGGGGCGGCGGATGATAACCATCCGTTGGCCGCCTCCGGGCCCGGGGCCAGCCCCCGGTTCAACATCATCGTCGAGGATCATATGTTGGAGGAGTATCGTCGCATGCTGACGCCGGCGTCGGCCCTGGCCTCGGCCTGCTATCCGGTGCCGGATGATGACTATGCCGATGTGGGTCACCCGGCCACAGGGTCCCCGCAGCCCGGGACCCCGGGCCAGCAGCCCACCCAGTCGGCCTCGCCCACCCTGCCACCCAATCTCATCGGCTATTCATCCAGTGCGCCTGCCTTCCTCTTGTTTTCTTTCTGTCCCCGCCGCCTGCCTTCCCAGATGCTGGCTCTGCGCCTCCCGCCCGCCCCCCCCCTCTTGTCCGCGTCCAACTCACCCCCCCCCTCTCCCCTCCTTTGCTACGCCTTTACAGTCAACCGCTCGGAGCTGGCGGATGTTGTGGACCTGGTGGTGGCCATCGGCGGCGATGGGACCCTGCTGCATGTGTCCTCTCTTTTCCAGGGCAGCCCAGTCCCGCCGGTTATGGCCCTCAGCATGGGGACCCTGGGCTTCCTGATGCCCTTCCGAGTGGACTCATTTGGGTCGATCCTGCGCCAGGCCCTGGAGGAGCCGGTGGCATTCGTCCCCCGCATGCGACTCCACTGTACCATTGTGGACGCCGATGGCAAGGTGAAGGATGGTGCGCTGCGCGAGATGGCTCTCGTGTGTGATGCCTGTTTCCCTCGAAGCCCTCTCTCTCGCTCTCTCCTGCCCCCCCCCCCCCCGTGTCTAACCCTGTGGATCTTACGTGGCCATCGGCCCTGATCTCCCCCTCTTCTTCTCTCTCTCTCTCCACCTCCCCAGAGTATCATGCTCTCAATGAGACGACCCTCCACCGGGGGAACAACACCTCGCCGGCTTTCATGGACATCATGATCGACGGCAAGTACATGACCGAAACCATCGCCGATGGGTGCGTTCCGCCCGTCTCCGATGCTGCGGCGTCTTCCTGCTGCGCTACTCTGGAGAGCATTATCGAAATGTTTCGACAAGCAATCCGCCCCCCCCCCCCTCTTGTTTCCCATCCATTCACTCACCCGCTCACCCGCTCACCCGCTCTCTGTCTTGCCCCCCTCCCCCCCCCGAGCCCGGGGGAGAACCTCAAACATTGTCTTTTCCCCCAACGAGAATGGGGGACAACGCCAGAAAACCACACACACATGGAAGAGAACAACTCACTTTATATGGGAATAAAAAATGATGGCCTTGTTCTTTCTTGCACTCCTTCCCCCCCCCCCCCCCCCCCCCCCACCCATGGCCACTTACGTGTCCAGGCTGATCATCGCCACACCGACAGGGTCGACGGCCTATTCTCTGTCAGCCGGGGGCCCGGTGGTCCACCCCTCCGTTCGAAGCCTTTTGCTGACGCCGATTTGCCCGCGCAGCTTGTCCTTCCGGCCGGCGGTTTTGCCGCCGGACTGCTCGATCTCCCTCCGGGTGCGTCTCTCCTTTGGGTGCCTCCTGCAACACTGGCCTTGCCCGTGCCAGGCCACATGCTGACCTTTCCTTTTCCTCCCTCGTGTTCCTTCATCAGCTGGCTGCTGGGAGCCGGTCCTCGGCCGAGGTCAGCTTCGACGGGCGGAACAATTTGAAGCTGGACTTCCGGGAGACCCTCCATGTTCGGGCATCGCCCTTCCCCCTGCCGGCGCTGGTTCCACAAAAGCTCAGCCCCAGCGGGGCACCGGTGGCCAACAACACCGACTGGGTGCACGACATCAAGACCCTGCTGAAGTGGAACCAGAAGTGGGGAAGTGGGTAATCTGGCGCACGTGGGCTCTTGTCCCGTCTGCTTCCTCCGGATCTGGCATTCTTCCTGTATCCCCAGGAGGGGGAGGCACATCCGCAAGCAATAGAGCTCCAAAAGACCAAACAAACAAACAAACAAACACACACATACACACGCCCTCGCTCCCTCTTTCTTTGTATCCCTTCATGTTCTCTCCTCGCCTGGCTCCCTGTATATCGCCATAGCATCCCATGCATGTGTATGAGCATGCATATGTGGAGCAGGGACCATGATGGGAGAGAGAGAGAGCATGCAGGACGCTTTGTGGAAGCAATTTCAGCTACATTATTAACACACAAGGGCAACTAACAGCGGGGAAGTCTCACAGGGCGTGTAGGGTCACGCGGGCAGCGCGCGGAGGCGTGCCCGTCCCCCGATGATCGGAGGGGAGTAACATCGCTGAGGTATAACTATACACGGATGGTGGCGGTGGCAGCGGTACGGTGGTGGTGGTGGTGGTGGTCGTTGCCACCATCGGAAGCGCAGACAAGGGTCAGCGTCAGAATCTGAAGCTCCTCGCGGCAAAAAGAGGCATCTCGTTTCCCGGATGACGGGGCGACGGATGACGCACCAAAAATGACTAGAAGCAGGAGTAGCATAGTGGAATGCCACCGCGCTCATACAGCTGCTGATCGATCAGCGTGTTCCCGCAGGAAGTGCAGTTGAAGTGATCGACGTGGAACTTTTTCCCTGCGCACATGGCAGCACAGCAGGCGATCGGGCGCATCATGTGGCGGTCAGCAATCGCAAAGACAGAGGGGAGAAAGGTGCGCATGTGTCGGTGGCGGCGGTGCGGTAGAGAGGAGGCCACAATTGGCACCCGGCCCGCGCCAAGAGCCAGACGCACCAAGTGCCGAGACGGCCTGTCCGTCGGAGATGGGATGCTTGCATGAGAAGCACACATAATGGTCCGCGCACATGTATGTGCTGTCGCCGACCCGGAGATATGCCTTCCCGGAGAGGCAGGAGGCACATTCCTACAGGAGCCGGGAGGAGGAGGGGCAGACCGGGGAAGAGACCGGGAAAGGAAGGAGGAAAGGAAAAAGCGTCAGTCCCATCCGGAAGAGGAGGAGAAAGGAGACAGGGGCACGGAAGGCAAGTGAACCCCGGTGCGTGTGCGTGGATGTTGCAGGCTGTATGGCGCACCTGGCAAGTGAAGCAGCTGGTGTGAAGGTAGGCGCCATCGATGCGAACGAAGTCGCTGGACACCAGCTGCGTGCACACACGGCAAATCATGCCGCGCGACTGCAGGAAGTGGTTGCGGCAATAGGGCATCCGGTGCTCGTCGGCCATGAAGTTCGATGACAGGACCATGCCACAATCCGTGCAGCAGAAGCAGTTCGCGTGCCACTTCTTGCCAAGAGCCTCGACGACCTGAGACACGTGTGTGTGTGTGTGTGTGTGTGTGGAGAGAGAGAGAGGAGGAGTCAGTACAGGTGCCGGCGAGAGGAAGAACAGAGGGCGGGACGCAAAGAGCCACGCGATGCTGCTGAACCCCCCCCCCCCCCCCCCCAAAGAGAGTACGTACATCCGTCGACACAGGGTCGCCACACTTGCCACAGCTGAAGAGCGCCTCGAAGTGCGTCGAGCAGTAGAGCTGCCGGTTGTGGAAGTAGAAGCGGCTGCCGGTGAGCGAGCAGTCACAGTGCGAGCAGGTGAAGTGGTCCGTGTGCCAAACGAAGCCGCCCCAGCTGAGGTACTCCTCCTCCAGCTCGATGTGATAGGCACAGGCAGCACACTGGAGCACCGGCTGCGTGGGGTCGTTGTTGGCGAACACCGGCTGCAGGGAGCTCGACGAAGTGCCAGACGGCTGGTGAGGATGCTGCTGACCGGCGGCCGGCGTGGCGACGAGAGCGCCCCCCGGCGATGCGACCGACCCGATCGAGCCGGTTCCCGAGCCGGAGCCCGACGCCTCGAGCTCCTGCAGCAGGCTGTCCAAATCGTCCACCGGCGAGAGGGGCGTGGCCGCCGTGTGCGGCGAACTGACCGACCCGGTCGGACCGGCGGCCGTCGAGCCGCGGCCGAGCCCGGCCGCCAGGCTGCCCGCATGGCTGGACGCGTGCTGAGTGGCAAGGAGCAGAGCCGCCAAAGCGGGATTGGTGGCGGCCCAGTCCGAGCTGGCCGGGGCCGGGGCCGGGGCCGAGGCCGGGGCCGCGTCCAGCTGATCCAGGAAGTCCACGGGCAGGCCGAACTCGTCGGTGGCCACCGGTGCCGGCGGCGAGCCGACCACCACCTCCTGCATCACCAGCGGCTCGGGCATCGGGCTGACCGACACGGTCAGCGTATTGGCCTGGGCAATGTACGTGGACATCGGCGGCCCGGCATCCGAGTAGGGGGCCACCGGCACCGGCTCCGCGAGATCCGCACGCAGCGGCATGATGAAGGTGGTCACCGTGGAGGCAGAGGGCGTGATCGTGGGCCCGGTGGCGGCTGTCAGGCTGGCCGGCAGGGCCGGCATGACAATCTCTTCCAAGGGGGCCGCCGCAGCCGGGACCGAGGAGGCCACCGGCAGGTCCATGGCCACCACTGGTGTCGGCATCGGCGCCGGGGAGCGGACAATCGTCGGCGTGGACAAAACCCCAGTGAGGACAACCTTTGATCCGGGGGGGGGGGGAGAGAGAGAGAGAGGGAAGGGGGGCAGAGGTAAGAAGGGAGAATGGCTGGCCGGTGGCATGGTGCTAGTTCACCAGAAGGAAGTGTCGAGCAGGGGAGGGGGCAAACCAGGGACCAAAGGAGCAGCAGGAAAAGGGGAAATGTCCGGCCCCACTCGGCAACATGGAGCAGGGCAGGCGCAAAAGAGCCAGCGCGGCACACGCACCGAATCCTCCATGGCAATGGTCTTGTCGGCGGTGAGGAAGTTCGGCTGGGCCACGGCGAACTGGGCACTTGGCGCCGGGATGTATGACTCCTCGGCGGCCAGGAAGACCTCCCTGGCCTTGTGGAAGTCGCCCGGAGTGGTGTCCAGCACCGGGGATTGCGGCTCGGTCGGCGCGCCAGATGGCGAGTCGGCCTGCTTGTCGGTGGCTGGCGATGCCTCGGCATCGGTGGACTCCACGGGCACCGGCGGGGCCGGGTCATCAACCACCGCGTCCGGCAGGGTGGGCAGATCGCCCGACGGAACCTCCTCCTCACAGGCCAGGGCAATGTCTCCCACCAGAGGGGTGGTTGAAACATCACTCGTCGAGGTGAGGCTGGCGGCCAGGACCGGGGTCTCGGCGACGGCATTGGCCACGCCCGCAGCCGCGGCCATGGCCGAGGGCGACCCGATGGGGACCAGGATCGAGGTCCGGTGCTTGGGCGAGCTGCCGGCCGACTGGCTGAAGGCCCACTCAAGCTCATGCGGGTCGTCGGATCGCGGGGTATGGGCACCGGTGCTTAGCGGCGAGGGGACCATCGGCGCCGAGTGCGGCGAGGGAGAGGACGAGGAGACCGACCCCGGGGAAGAGGCCCCCAGAGACCCGGCCGACAGGCGCGACAGGCGCAGGCCGCTGGAGAAGGGGTTCTTGCTGGACAGCTCGGAGGACAGGTTCAGCGAGGTGGAGCTCAACGGGCTGGACATGGAGTAGCGATTGGTCCGGGCCTTGAAGAAGTCCTCGCAAGACCGGTGCTTCTCGCGCAAGTCGTCCAGCATGTCCTGCAGCTCGTCGAACAGCGCATACTCCGAGGGGTCCAGGTGCTGGGAAACCTTCTTGCTTTCGGTTTCCAGATAGGTGAACAGCCGGAAGCACTGGCGCTCATAGTCCGAGTGGTCGGAGAAGAGGGGGTTCGGCACATCCCAAGAGATCATGCGCTTGGGGAGCTTACTGACATGGAACTCCGGAAGGGGGGACTGTGTGTGTGCGTGTGCGTGTGCGTGTGCGTGTGCGTGTGCGTGTGCATAGATGGCACATGGCATATTACTGAGAGTCAGCCTCCGCTTGTTGTGTGCGCGTGTGTATCGACATTCGGGCTGCCGTGGGGTTCTGCCTGACGTACGGAGATCTCATCGAGCAGCTCCTTGATGGAGGGGATGTACTGGTAAATCACATCGTTGATGGGCGTCATGAAGGCCTCCTTGTTGCCGAACTCCACCAGATTGGCCATGCTCTGGATGATTTTGGCAATAAGGGTCAGACCGCGGGCCTGGCGCGGGTCGATGGCCTCTGTTTTGGCGCGGGATGGAGGACCAAAGTAGGAGTGAGTGGATGGCCATGGTGGCGCTGCATGAATGGAAGCTGCCCGGTGCAGGCGGCCGGGAGGGGAGAGGGGAAATATGCGCCAAAGCAGAGGCGGGGCATGGGCCAAGGGAAAAGAGACAGGGGGGGAGGGGGGGAGGAAGGCAGAAAAGGAAGACGCCTCCGGACGAGTGCCTCACGTACCGTCCCACAGTCCGAAGAGCTTCGGGCCCAAGATGGCCGGGCAGAAGAATCGCAGGAAGAAGAACCCCGAAATGGATGTGTACCGGGCCGCCGTGCTGTCTGGGAACCGAGCGATCACCTCAGCCTGGATGAAGCTGAAAATCAAGCTGAAAGCCGGTGGGCAGTGCTTCACCGAGTTGATGATCGCCTTGATGATGATACCCAGGAAGTGCTCGATGTTCTTCCAGTTCTTGTCGATATCCTCGCCCTTGGCAAGACGCATGGGGTCGACCTGCCGGCGGGTGTGTTTTCGTACGTGTGTACGTGTGTACGTGTACGTTATCCAGGAACGTGTGAAAAGGTATACGCGTCAGCACATGCCGGG